ATTAAAAATAACATAACTGTGCCAATGGGTTGTGGTGAAATTTTAAAAATAAGACGATTAAATTATAAAACAACTGTTGATGGGTCTCCAGTTTGGAAACCTTCACAGACAGTAGTTATAACATTTGATGGTCAGGTTCTTCCAAAACACATTTATATGTGCTATAATGCTTTATCTGTCGAACTTTACACATATCCTACTATACAATGTTACAACTGCTGTCGATATGGTCACACTAAAATTCAATGTAGGTCCAAACCACGCTGCTTTAAGTGTGGAGATGTTCATACAAGTGACTCTTGCAATAAAGATGATGACTGTGCTTTCTGTTTCCTTTGTTCTGGGTCACATTTTGCTATTAGCAAATCATGTCCTGAATGGGCTAGACAAAAACAAATAAAATTGACCATGGCACAAAACTGCATCTCATATGCAGAGGCTTCCAAAATGCTCCCCCCTGTCACTAAGTCTTATGTTGATATTCTTAAATCTGTTCCCTCTAGCACATATTCAGCTGAGTCTATGAGGCCACAACATTCTTTGTCATCACATATTAACCAACCATTGAAAAACTCATATAAAAAGACAGTTTCTTTAAAAACTCGACCTCTTCCCCATTTCAACAAAGGCTATGACAAAGCAGCTCATCAAGCTCTAATTAAGGACTTTGAAATCCCAATGTCGTCTAACGGATGTGCATTAACACCCAATGGGAATGAAAAACAAGACATATTTACAGATGTTGTAATTCCTTTAATTAATTCTTTGTTACTAAGTAAAATAATTTCACCGAACAACGTTGCTCAAACATTTGATATTCTTAAACAAATTCTTAACAATGGACAATCAAGCCAAAGTTATACAATGGAATTGCAGGAGCATAGTTAATAAAAAAAGTGAATTGATATATTTGATTAACAAATTTAATCCTTTCCTTATCTCTCTTTCGGAGACTTGGCTGCGGCCAAATTTATCATTTAATATGCAAGGATACATTTGCCATAGAAAAGACAGATTGGATGGATATGGTGGTGTAGCAATCTTAATTAAAAAAACTGTTATTTTCACGTATGTTCCACTGCCTCCACACTCTGATAACTTTTCGGCAATTGCGATTTCATACAATAATGTTTGTTATGTATCTATTTATGTTCCTCACCCATCTCAACAAGTTTTAAATGAAGTTAATCATCTCTTATCTTCACTGAAAAAGCCATTTTTGGTTATGGGTGATTTTAACTGTCATCATCAATCCTGGGGTAGCTCTTTTTCTAATCCTAATGGAGATCTAATGTTAGATATCCTTGATCATCATAATTTATGTGTTCTAAATACTTCAAAGCCGACAAGACGTACAAAACCGAATGAGAGTGTGAGTGCTGTAGATTTATCTATATGTACTCCCAATCTTTCTTCTGTTCTAGAGTGGGACATTTTGTCTTCTACTTATGGCAGTGATCATTTTCCAATAATTATTTCGTTTCCTTTCTATAACCTTCCAAATCAAAAAGTTCCGCGTTCACGTATGAAATACAGATTAAGTACTAAAGGCTGGGATACTTACAAAAGCAACACACTACAGAACGTTTCTACCTTGCCAGATGTCCAAAAATTTTATGAAATTGACTCCTATAATGCTTTTGTAAATTTTCTTAATAACGCTGCGGAACAAGCTTTTCCTTTAAAAGAAAATACCTACCAAAAAGCTTCACCCCCGCCATGGTGGGATAAAGAATGCTCTGAAGCTGTTAAAAAAAGAAAGACTGCAGAAAGACAATATTGTTCATCTATGACATCAGAAAATTTTGAAAGTTTTCAAGTTATAAGTACCAACACACACAAAATTTTAAAGATGAAGAAAATCGAAGGGTGGAAAAATTACTGTTCATCGATCTCTCCTAATACTAATCCTTCAGTTCTCTGGCAAAATATCAGACGATTCAGATGTAGTAAAATTAGTTCTCCCTCAATATCTCTTCCAATAGATCTTGCTGAAGATTTTACAGACCGACTTGCCCCCCCTTTTGCTCCAGAATTTCGCCACCCAAATTTAGAGTGTAATTTAAACGATCACTCCGAACTAGCCTCGCAGTTTTCTATGTCAGAATTAAAAGGCATATTATCATATCTTAAGGATTCTGCCCCTGGGGAGGATGGTATTCTATACTCTTTTATTTCAAATTTAGACGAAAAAATTTTGTCTTACTTTTTAAATCTTTTAAATTCCATAATAGCAACTAGCAATATACCAAAGTCTTGGCAAACACAGGAAATCATTGCTATTCTTAAACCCGGGAAACTTTCTACTGAGGCCACATCTTACAGGCCAATAGCATTATCATCTGTAATAGGTAAGCTTGCAGAACATTTAGTAAAAAAACCGGCTTGAATGGCTTGCTGAAAATAAAAATATAATAGCAAGCAGTCAATTTGGTTTTAGGAAAGGAAGAGGTACGATAGATAGCTTGAGTATTTTAACTACTGATATAAGACTGGCGTTCACAAATAATAATTTCCTTCTATCTGCGTTTTTAGACATAAATTCTGCATATGATAGTGTGTTCTTCCGCATCTGTTACGGCAGAAATTAATTGATTTAAAAGTTCCAAAAATATTCATTAACTTCATTTATAACATGTTATATGAGAGGACTATACATATTTTTTTTAGAAAATGGACATAAAATATCCAGGACGACTTGGAAAGGATTACCCCAGGGCTCTGTTCTTAGTCCGTTACTCTATAATATATACACTTATGATTTAGAACATTTCCTTAATGGGTCTGCAAATATTCTACAGTATGCAGATGATTTACTTCTGTATGTTTCGGATGAATCTGCTCATAAAGCTTGTGAGTGCTTAAATTACTCTTTGCGTCTATTGAGTATTTGGAGTGAATCAAATGGTCTTGAATTGTCTGCCTCTAAAAGTACCACTGTAATATTTTCCAGAAAACGTGTTCTTCCAAAAATCCACATTTCTTATAAAAATAGTCCAATTCCAGTTAAGAATAATGCAAAATTTTTAGGTCTAATATTGGACTCAAAACTTACTGGCATTCCGCATTTCGATTATGTAGTAGCAAAATGTGAACGTCAACTAAATATGTTAAGATGCCTTTCTGGTGTATGGTGGGGTGCGCACCCCATCTCCTTAAAGTTAGTTTACAACGCTATCATTAGAAGCATTGTAGATTATGGTACATTTTTATTGGAACCTTGTAACGCATCTGGTCTTAAAAAAATCGATTTAATTCAATCAAAAGCTTTACGAATAATATCTGGTGCAATGAAATCCAGTCCCATTAATGCTCTTCAATTAGAATGTGGAGATCCGCCGCTCCACTTAAGAAGACAATATTTAGCTGATAGATTCCTGTTTCGTTGTTTACAAATTTTAAACCATCCTTTAATAACAAAACTACAAACCTTATGTCAAGTCATTAATTCATCTTCGTATTGGAAACTCAAGGAATTGCCATGTCTTGTTAAAAGTTACCAAAAATATCTTGCTATTGAAGCCCCCATGTATCGTTCCAAAACTCTTCCACTGTTTGAAACCGATTATAAAATCTTGACTCTTACACCCTCCATAAAACTCAATGTTGGAATAAAAAAAAGATGAAATAGAAATTCATACAGCTTTTAAATTCATTATTGAAAATAACTGGGAGAATTGGCACTATATATATAGTGATGCTTCTAAACATACCAATAATAGTTGTGTTGGGGTTGGAGTATTTCATTCTCAGTATAATATTGTACAAAAAATTAAATTACCTCCTGAATCATCAGTATTTACTGGGGAATGTTTTGGTCTATTTCGCGCAGTAGAATATATATTATTAACAAACTTATGTAAAGCTATAATTTTTACGGACTCTCTAAGTTCTTTACAAACATTAGCACATTTTCCGCTTAAATCAAAATGTCAATATCCTATAATTTTAGAAATAAGAAAATTGTTATACAAATGCCAAGTTAAAAAAACATTACAGTAGTTTTTGCATGGATTCCCGGGCATAGCGGCATTAAAGGAAATGAAAAGGCAGACGAGTTAGCAAATGAAGCCGTGTTAAGCGGTGATATATATCCTTACACTAATTATTGTCACGATCTTCTTTCCTTGTCGAAGCGATATTTGAAAGAGTCCTGGGAACATTACTGGACATCTCCTAGCCTAGTGAAAGGAAAATTCTACTCCTCAATTCAACCGACAATTCCAAATAAGCCTTGGTACACTCAAGTCAATTTAAATAAATATTGTACTAGTTCTTTAATTCGTTTGCGATTAGGTCACTGCTGTTCTCCGTCTTTTCTGTTTAAGATTCATGTTGTAGATACTTCTTTATGTGCTTGTGGAACGGAAGAAGGAAATTTGAACCATATTTTCCTTTCTTGCCCATTATATGACCGCTCCTCTCTTTTTACTGATCTTCTATTGCTCCGGATACCTTTTCCTATTAATATACCATTCCTTTTAGCATATAACGACCCTTGTGTATATAAAACATTAGCTTCATTTATTCAGAAAAATGCTATATAAAACTATAGTATAATTTGGTTAATAGGTTTATATATATAAATGTATGCGTATGTATGTGTGTATATATGGGTATATATATATATATATATATATATATATACATATATATGTGTGTATATATGTATATATATTATGTGTATTTGTGTAAATACGATATTAATAAAACTAAATATTCTGTAATTAATAATACTTTATCACATTGAATATATGTATCGTAAATCTTCTTGATTATTTTCCTTTTTCCAAATTCCGCTTCCTAGTCCTGTTGAAATAAATTTATATTTCAACAAAACCACTGTTTCCTTCCTTTTACTTGTCATTGGCATAAAGGATAACAAAATGCCACAATAAAAAAAAAAAAAAAAAAAAAAAAAAAAAAAAACTTCATGACATCGTTTTCTATTAAAAAAGGAGCACCTACTTAAAACAGCGAGCATTCTGAATTTAATCGCAATGGGTTAGTAAATTTAAAAAAAACTCAAAATGTAAAACTTTAAAAGTCAAAATATATGTATATGATAACGAAATATCAATTATTTTAGATAAATTAACATTAGATAGACATGCAATGAAGGACCGGGCTACGTCTCATCTTCGGATATATGTTGGTGGTTTAACGGACAAAGCTACAGTGGAGGAGCTATATGACCATTTTATTCATTTTGGACAAATTAACGGGATCATTGTGAACAGAAATTTTGGGTTTGTACAGTTCGAAAAAGAAACAAGTGCTCAAGAAGCTATAGCTAAGAGTAATGGCAGTATTTTTCAAGGCAAGACGTTATGCGTAAGAACAGCGCAAACCACCGATAAAAGCAGGTAAAAATTCATTATAATAAATTTTTAAAGGCTAAAATAATACACTAATCCATATTAAAAATGATTACTAATTTACTTTCATTTAAGTAAATAAATACTTTGCTTTAGTATATGGTAGCACGATAAGTTATTGAAGTAAATACTAGTATGATTTTCTGTGGAAATTTAGGTTAACTGCTAGGAATCATTAAGAACAGTATTGTTTTGGCTTTCGCCCCAAGAGATTTACATAATTACATTCTAAAGCATTAGAAAGAGACAACTTAATGGTTATATCTCCTTTTAAAAAGTGTTATTCTAGACCGAAAAATTATGTTTGCCTGTAGAAGGGCTCAGTTGACCTATCTTGGCATGTAAAGTAAAAAAAATTTATATTGATATATGTTTATTCAGATAAAGAATTTAATTTATTTTTACTCTTTCGTTTTATATTTGCTTACATAGCCTGTTATACATATACACCAGATGGGTCAGGTTTGGTGAAAATGGTGTCCATTGCTATATTTTAGAAGGTTGAACGTAAAGCGTCAGGCGTGGGGGAATTGAAAGAAAAGCCCCTCTCCCTCACCCTTTTTACAGGGGTTAAACACTTCCAATGGGGGGGGGGGGGATGGAATCTTCATAGACAGGGTTATGTGGTATTCTTATCCGGCTGAAGACCTGATTACCTATATGATATTTAAACCACCCAAGATCACAATTCTGTAAATAAACAAAATTAAATGTGTGATTTATTGACTTGTTGTTTTCTAGTTATATCTATTTCTTACAAATATAGAAATATTCTCTAAGATCACTTTAGGGTATCTGACAAAGTTATACAAATAATTTGAGCCATTCGGGTTACATAGGGCATTTATATCTTAATTAATAACCATGTAAAAACTAAGCGTAGCGTAAGTAAGTGTAGAGTCATTACTCAGAATACTAATTTATTTCAACTGTTGTAAGCTATGTTTTATGTAAAAAATAAGTCTTTACATTGTCATCCTTACTACTGTATACAGTTAGGTGATGCTGTTATCAATATGTTACAGTTTTAATTTTTTCGTAATCTCATCTTCAACATATTTTAGGCGAGAAACAGAGGTTGTCGTAATAAATCCAGAAGTGCCGCCTGCTGTAGCACTTAGTGAAAAATATCTACCCGAAGAAAGTAATGATGAACCCTATGATAGTTATGGCAATTATATTGGAGATAAGAGAATGCCTAATACAGGTGTGTTAAATTATTAAATACTAGTTTTTCGCCCGCGACTTCGCTCGCGTTGAAGCCCTTAAATAAATGTCTTTCAACCCATTAGAACTTTTTTTTCTAATTAAAAAATGTCTATGTCCTATGTCATTTCTCAGGCTCTAGACTATCTGTGTACCAAATTTCATTTAAATCGGTTCAGTAGTTTTGGAGTGAAAGTGAGACAGACAGACAGAGTTACTTTCACATTTATAATATTAGTATGGATGTTACAATATTATGCATCTGTTTAAATGTTTTGCTCTGGTACATTATTACTTTTAGATATTGTTACCTTTTTGAAGTTTGAGTAGTGTCCACTGCAACTCAATAATTTTATTGTAAAGATTACAGGGAAGAAGAATATGATGAGGGTTATGGTAAGGGATGGGGAGAAGGACGTGAGGGTCGCGAAGGTAACGAGCCCCGGGGGGCATTGAGAGGTCGAGGCGGGCCTAGAGGACGTAGTACAGGCAGAGGCCGTGGTGGTGTCCCTAGTTACAGGGATCGCACTCCTGTTGGTGGAAGAGGTACAGTCCATAAATTAACAAGCATTATTGATTTAAGAGGTTAATCTTATGATGCAAGGTAGAATAGTGGGGAACCAACATGCTAACCATCTGCAGTTTCATATGAACTACATTTGTTCTGTAACCTGAAAACCTTTAACAGTGGTAGGGCCACGCAGCAGCAGTGTTGCACGAATGTGCAGGCCCATCCGGGTAAGTACCACAACCTCACAGAAGACCAGCATAAAGTGGAAGTATGACAAAAACTTTCGCGTCTCGTCCGGTGAGCGAGGTGGCCGGAGCCCAATTTTCAAAAGGTTTTCAACGCATCTGCAATCCTCGGATGTAGCACATATCCCATGGGCGGCGGTATTCACTTAAGATCAGGTGAACTGTCTGCTCGTTTGACAACTTTTCACATACACAACAAAAAAACCTGCAACTTTTTTCCTCATCAAAAATTAAGTTTACTACACTTAATAACAACATTGCAACAACATGTTGGTTACAGAATAAAATGTGCTACTGTTAATGTATCTTATAGGTAGCAAAATACAGAACCAAACTGGGTATATTAATAGCGCTTTAAAAGAAACCAGAATCCATGTTTATACAATCATGGCTTATGGAAATTTTCCTGTAAAGGTTGTTAAAATATTAATATAATAATCTTGTAAGTTTGAAAATGGACATATATGAACCTAATTTGTGGTTTTACAAGGTTTAAGGTAATATTTTTTTAGGCAGTGAATGGCCAGAAAGATCAGGCTTTGATCGTTATCCTCAGCAAATGTCAGAATACCCTAGGAGTTTGCCAGTTACAGAGAGAAATGACTGTGAAATAATTGTAGTCTCCAAAGCTCTTACGTAAGTTTGTTTTAAACTTATTTGACAAACTTAATATTTTCTGCTTGGTCCAAAAACATTCAAAAAAAACAAAAAAAAATTTCTTTATTCCAGAGAGTATGCTGAATACATAGAAGGTAGATTGAAAAGATTGGGAATTGTAGTAGACTTGTTGTTTCCAATGGAAGATGTGCCAATTGGAAAAGTTTTGGGTAATATTGCTTCTCGTGGCTGCCTCTACGCCATTTTAGTCATGCCGCAAAATGAGGAGCATAGGTCATTGACTCTGACTATACTACATGGACTGCCACAAGGTATAGATATATTGTTGAAAATTTACTAAATGATTTAATTTTTAAATATTGTCCATTAATAAGCAGAAAATAGTCATATTGTTGTAATGGTGGTTAGAACACCAATATTCTGTACTCGTAAACATGGTGTTTTAAACATGTCAATTTTTAAGCTTTAAAGCATATTAATTAAAAATATGGTTTAATGAAACTGATCGGGACTAATAAGGCGGGAATTTAAAATTAAACACGATAACATCCGTTAAAATGTTTAGTTTAATCACGCCTAGTAATCGCATAAACATAAGAAATAAATATATTAGGAAAAATGAAAATATAAAATAATTGTAAATTGAAAAAAAAAATTTTTTACAGAGCATCGAAATATGCCTATAGACGACGCTCTGCAGTTGCTTTCTCGTAATTTTCAAGAAGTGCAACATGGCGGATCCTCAGGTCGAGAAGCTGTTTACGCTTTGTTAGGTCAATTAGCAGATGGCCGTTCTCTTACTGTGTTACAATATGACAAAGTGATAGAATATTTACAGGTCAGTCAGTTACTACTTAAAACAACTTAGATGTTGATTCAGAGAAAGCATTTCACTTCATAGGTTTCAATTTCAATAATTTATAGGGCGCGCTTCTTCAATATTAGCTTGTTTTATTCAAACTCTGTGTAAGGATGAGATTTGTAAAGGCTTTCATCTTAATATATATAAATTACTTGTCACGTTGTTTGTCCGCGATGGATTCCTAAACTACTTAACCAGTTATAATCAAATTTGCACACCATATACCGTTTGTTTCAATTTGAAAGATAGGATAGCTTACATTTCAATTTATAGTCGCAATATTAATTTAATGCAAACTAGCTAACTCGGCAAACGTTATGCCATATAAATTATTTCTAGAGGAATCGGAACGCACGCATAAAGTTTTGACAGGTTACACAGCAGACATAGTTGATAGGTACAGTTTGTATGGAAAAATAAAATTGTTGCTATTTCGATTTTCCATAACTTCTCATCGTTTAAACCTTCCCTGGACTGCCACAAATATTTCAAAGTCAAAATTAGCCAAATCGGTCCAGCCGTTCTCGAATTTTAGCGAGACTAAAGAACAGTAATCCATTTTCATTTTTTTCGTTACAAACGCGACAATAAATGAACACACGTCTAACGCTACTTGCCGATAAACATAAAATATTTTTTTTAACGTCCACAAAAATTCATAATTAAAAAAAAATTTTTTTCAAACAAACTAATTAAGTAACAAAGAAACAAAATTTGTGACATCCTATACAACTACAACTGACTGATACATTCAGAGACTTTTTCATTCATTGCCACAGCGTCGCATTACAAGCCTCTCCTTCTAACAGTATGTTTTGTCTCTTTTAAATTCATTCAACCCTTTACAAATGATTCATTCAACCCTTTAATTCATTCATTTATATGCTTTGCGCCCTTTACAAATGAACTTTACGTTACAGTTTTATACGTAAGGGAGTTCTAAAATTGTTTGTTTTAGAAAATTTCATAACTCGGTAAATATTGATGTTTAAATATGGTAAATGTTTAATACAATTTTTAAAAGTTATCCTCTATATGTGTGTTCATTTATTGTCGCGGTTGTAACAACACGCTGTATAAGAAGATTATTTGTTTATTACATGGCAAAGAGTTATAGTTGTCTCATATCTGTGAGTTCCATAAGATTTTAACAGATAGTGGTGTAAGGTAATTTATCGGCTGGATTATCCAATAGATGGCGCTATGTTAAAAGTCGAAACGTACGAACCCGGTAGATTTGGCGCAGACGAAGTTGCGCGGTCCAGCTAGTTTTACTATAAAATTAATTTATAGATGGAGATTAACTTAGTAATCATATCTATTTACAAATTTTTTTAGGACCGCAAAGAGCATCAAATAAAAATTGAATTGGGAGAACCTTTAGTCACCACAACAACAAACAGCAAAGCTCAAGTTGATCTACAGCAGAGAATTATGAGTATTCTCAATGAAAAGAAAGTGGTACTATCTCAGAAGGAACCTTCTCCTACACCACCACCAACCGTGGCACAAGGCGCTCAACACAAACTATTGAACGATCCCACATTGAAAAAAGCTCTAGATTCAATTTTGCAAAAATATGTTTAAGATTATAATTTAGCAATTGAGCTTTGTAAGTAACCTTTATAAGTGTTAATCTCTTATAAAGATTAAACATAGGAATTACTTTTTGCTTTGAAATAAATAATTATACTTATTTTTTTTTGTTGTTTTCCTGGATTGAAATTTAATACTTTGCTTTTATGGCGTTAATACTTAATTTACGGTAGTAGGGCCACGCAGCAGCCTCGGCTGTTGCACAAATGGGCAGGGCCGTCTGGGTAAGTACCACAACCTCACAGAAGACAAGCATGTGGAAGTATGATAAATACTTTCGCGTTTCGTCTGGTCAGTGAGGTAGCCGGAGCCCAATTTTCAAAAGGTTGTCACAAAGGTTGTCAAACACATCTGTAACCCTCGGGTGTAGTAGATGTCCATGGGCGGCGGTATTCACTATCAGGTGAACCGTCTGCTTGTTTGGCAACTTTTCACATAAAAAAAAAGAAAAAGGAAAGTTTGACAAGTCACATTCAACTCAACAATGAAGACAATAAGGGCAGTCCAACAAGATTGAGGATCATAAATAAATTACCATTTAATATTATATTACCTGGAGGACCGAGCTTTGCTCGGTTTGTTTTTTTTTCTTCTTTGAGATACAAATCACTGAGTAATGAAATATGCATAAGAAAATATGAACTGGTGTTTTTACGGCTGTCTTACAAAAAACACTTTTGAGGAATAATATACATAAATATAGAGATCAGTTTCTTTTGTAAATAAAACAAATTTTATTTGTAGAATGATTTTTATAAGTTCATATATAGTTGTGGTCTAAACAAGTCTCTTCATAGAGCAAGCTGTTCATTGGTGATTTGAAAAGACAATTGGTGCTACAGTTAATTTTTTTGTACATTCAAAACAACACGAAAATAATTACATATTCATACTAGGTCTTAGTTTTTCTGTACATGATCAATATTAGTGCTATTGTTGTTTTGTATATACCTATCGCTACACATGTTAATAGAATTTACTGCTATTTAAACTGGAGAAATCAATGTTTCCCCTATAGTCACATTATAAAACCTTCGCATGCATTACTTCAATGTTATTATCTTTAGGAAATAGATTACAAACATGATTGAGAAAAAATCCCCATAAACACCGCCAGCGGCTATCTAATCAGGGCTAGGATTCATTTTTTAACTTCATTATACATATTATATTTCAAAAGAGACAAAAGCTTTCATGAAAATAATAGACATCTGTTTTAAAAGTTACTATGGCATACAGCTGCAATGTCAATGATGTATTAGTTAAAAATCAATTATTTATTTAGATACCAGGAACCACCCAATTGAGATCATAATCTAGCATTTTTGGGTCTATCAATGGTTTCAGTGTTTTCTTTCCAAACTCTGGTTTTTATTTTTTTGATAGCTATACAAGATATTAACTAGAATAACATTAGGAATATCCACATCTTACTCTATATAAACAAATCCACATACATCCTTACCGCTACAGCAACAAAATACCTGTTTACACCTATCAAACTCCCTAAAGTAACATTTGGAAGAATTTGGTGTCAGTCAAGAATTCGATAGGTGAACGCAATATTTACAATATGCAATATTTTCAGTCATTTTTGACTCCGTCGCCAACTCTTCCCGTAAGCGAATTTGCAATTACACTGTACTGCAATAGTCATTTTAGGTGGCTCTCTCAGGTGGATCTTCTTGTTTAGATGGATCAAAACCATCTTTTATGTGCCCTCCAGTTCCCTTCGGATCCAAATCTGTTGCCCAACTGAAGTGCATCAATGCTAAATGGGAATTACCTAACTTATTATGAACTTTACCAAGGAGATAATATACTAAGGACTCTCTAGGTGCTATATCTTTTAGATGATGCAGGTCTTCTAATGCGTCTCGAGGCCTCCCAGCGCGTAGTAATACGGATGCTCGATGGAAACGACACAACGGATTTTCAGTATCCAAAGTGACAGCCCGCTCTAAAGTAGCAAGAGCCCTATCCATTTTTCCTAAAGCTGCTTGAGCCAACCCCAGTTGACATCTTAGTACACCTGAATGTGGATGTATCGCAAGTGCGCGACGTATATGCACCTCAGATGCTTTCCAACGTTCTTGTCGGGCATAAACGGTTGCTATGCCAAACCACGCAACATAGTTACGTGAATCAATGCTAACTGCAGTTCGGAAACTTGCGAGGGCTTTGTCAGTCTCTTCTGCCACTGCATATTCATGCCCTAAGAGTGCATGTGCATATGCAGCATCTGGATTTATTTGTACTGCGCGCTTAAAGAATTTTAACGCTGTCTCGCGTTCTTTATGAAGGGAGAAGCAATTTCCGGCCGCCAGCCACGCAATTGAGTCATTTCGGTCTAATTCTACGAGTTCTTGTGCTAAAGCCGACAACTGCGCTTCGCGTTGTAAATGCCATAAACATGTACTATAAATTTCCATACCTTCTGTACGGCTCGGATAATTTTTTCGGATATCTGCAAAAATTTTAGAAGCTGCCTCATACTGTGCTAGTTCGTAATGAGCCCGAGCAATCATTGTTTGGACCCAGGGGGAAGATAGTTGTTTACTAGGTACTTCTTGAAATAGTTTGATGGCATTTTTACAATCTAAGAAGGAAAGTGCTTTATATGCTTCACCCAATTCTCTCATTAAACTTAGCAAGGCAATGCCATTAGAACTCTTTGGCGTTATTGATGGTGCAACAGTCTCCATACTCTTAGTCCTTTCATTAGTTTCTAGAGCACTTGCTTTAATGTTTTTGGCAGTTCTTTGTTTGTTTTTTCTTGAGGGACTCTTAGGTGCTACAAATTTTCTGCTCGGTGATTTATTATTTTCCTTAACTGAATAGCTACTATTATTGTTACTGAATAACCTTGAAGAGCGTCTTGGTGCTGGTCCTAAAGTACAACGGGGTGCTGGACTGAAAACTGCATCTTTAAGTTGCCCCATTTGAGCTCTAAGAGAATTTACTATCTTAGGTATAGCTTTTTGCTCATTTGAGTCTGTAAGTGTTGGAGTATATAAAACAGGAGATTCATCCATTGGTAACATTCCAAAGGAAGGTGAAAAGGGTATTGGCGCCATTCCACTAAATACACTGTGCATTCGTTTCACAGGAGCTTGAGTCTCTGGTGTGATGCTTGTAGACATAGTCATTGGTGTTCTTGATGACACATTATTTGGAGTGACATTAGTGTTCAAACTAGTATTATTAGGAATGTTGCTATTAACAAAGGATATGTTTTCGGAATTGCTGACTAGATTTGTTAAAGTAGACACACCAAAAGAATAATCTGTGCTATTATTGTGAAACACTTGATGAGGATCAACTTTTTCCCCCATATTGCAAAGTTGCAAAAAAGATTTCCACATAAATGGATTTAATGCTAGTGCTTTCCTATGGGCATCAGCTGCTTTGCTTCTTCTTTCTGTAATGTTATAAATCTTGGCAAGTAGCTGTAATGCATATGGAGCTTGTTCACCAAACTCTGAAGCAACTATATCCAAATTTGAACCCAAAACAATTTCAGCTTCTTTATACCTATAACAAAATAAGTAATGAAATGAGCAGTATTTTCATTGCTGTTAAGCAATTATTGTATCTATATATAGATGATCTAACAGTTGTTACATTGGATGAATCAGATAGTGAGTACCTACTAAAGGTTCCCTATTGCCTATGAAACTCCAAAAGTGTTAATATTAGATGTCTGTGGTGGCACTTTAATCACTTAGCAGCAGAATCATTTGCCATATTGAGGATGTAGTGAGATGAACTTATATCTAACATTGAGACGAAATTGAGATTATCGCTTGGTTTGGTGTCAAATAATATTTTGTATGCTCTCGCGAAGACAACATACTTAATTGTGGTATATTTATTGGGATCTTAAAAAATGACAATAACCTACTTAGTTATTCCGCGTACATCTTGCTGAAAATTACGACTATATATATACAAGAAAATACTAGCAAACTCCAGTGCTACTATTTGCTGTCGGTTGTTGCTACGGCGAACAACGGGTTCCGGCACAGGACTCGCGGGATAGGCAGGTTGTGCAATTGTTGTGTTTGTTTATTTCGCGAAAAGTAGCTTAACAAGTCAGGTTGAATCGTGTTTACAGTGTTGTAAAATGTTATAAAGAACAAGTATGTTTATTTGTCGATCAATAGAATTATTTTTACGCGACGTATGATAGAAGATAAGAGCTACTAGCGGATTCGGGCAAACGTAGGCTTTAAGTAATATGACTCAAGAACAGAAAATATTAGACGAACATCATAAAGCTTTTTACCAAATCGATTCCCTATACTTTATCAAAGACCAGAAACGCCTTCCAATGGATAGGTGTCGCAAAGTAAGTCTAATGCTCGACATTGTCACATGTGATGAAAACTGGATGTTTTGCTACGAACCCGAAACCAGACTGTCTGCTTAGTGGGTGCCCGTTTGAGGATCAGCCAACTAAAGTTAAGAAAGATGATTTGCCTTGTTCTTAAGTCGGAAACGTAATGCACTTTCAAATTCATAAGGAGATGGGCCCTTATGACGAAATAACACAAGCTCAAGGCTTAGTTGGTGCATCAGTCTCCCACAACATGAAACAACCACACTTGAAATACTATATCTGTGGAAAGATCATTTCGTAACAGTTGTGCTGGTAGATGGAAGGAAAGATACGGCTGACTGGTATGTTAACTGTTATTTTGGACCATGTTTGCTAACAGCGTTCTCGAAGCAGGATCCTCCTTCACCACGACAACGCTACAGCACACTCAGCGAAACGAACAGTTGAATATTTATCTAAGACAGGTGTCGGGACAATATCATATAGTATAGTCCTGATGGCGCCCTACGACTTTCATTAACACGTTAAACGCCATGAGGTACACCATGTGCCGGCAGTTAACTTTATGCATGGGCCACACGAAATTTTATAGTAAAAAATTACAACATTGTTTTTTGTCTTTAATCGATAGAATGATAGTTATAAATTGCATTAAATTATAGATATGACCGATTGGGATGCAAAATCAGACTAATATTGAATGTCACTCACGGGTGACCCCCATGGCCCATGCCGAAGCAAATCCATTTTAGTTTACTGCTGGGCCACGGGGTCACGTTGTCGACCACGTCACTATTTCGAGCGCCTTTTTGGCTTTTAAACATAAAATGAACTATTCATTTAAGAATGTATTTGAGCGCCGAGATACCAGCGGTTTCGTAGAATAAATACTAGTGACGATGAAAATGAGACTGCTTCATATTTCACTTCGAAAAACTGTCCATCGACAGGTTTTTCGTCGCCGTATTTCTCGCCTCAAAGCAATTAACGAAATATGTATAATACCTTACACTAAATTTCCTGGGATTCCCCCGAATCTTGTAAGAAATATGGTTGAGGAATCTCTCGTCGATTTTTATTTTCTACTAGTACCAGATGAAGACTATAATGAGCCGTAATCGTTTCTTTCGATTACTTTCTTTCGTTCCGAATTATTGTTACATGATCAAGATAACATTCTAATAGATCATAAAATACCTTTTGAACAAAGGTCACACACTTTTCGCAGATAACTGGTACGAGTATAGTAGATCTGGCCAGAAAACTTTGAAAAAGTGGGTACTATCAGCAAAAACCGAAAGCACCTTCCCAAGGATGTGGTGACGGCAATGATGGGGTTGCAATGATATGTATTTGCGCGTCGGTAGAGAAGTATTACAATTTTAAACTGTTTGGTTTAAAATTGTAATATTTCTCTCTTCTAGGTGCAGTCTAAAAATTTCGGAAAATGCGGCAAATTTATTTCAAAACCTAAAATAGTGATTACTTTAACAACGCTAAAGGAACAATAGATCTTTCCGATCTAACACACCTCTAAGAAAATCTATAAAGTGATATAAAAAACCTTAGCAATAAACATCTTACTATATACAGCTGTCGTAAATTCATTGCTATTGTACCAATCTGTTACGGATAAAAAGATCCAGATTACGGACATGAAAAAAGAGATACTTAAAAGTTTGCGTGCATGGAACGATAGTATTGCTCCATCTGTTCAGGGCTCTCGACGAGCGACACGTAAATTGGTCAGGGAATCAGGTCCATTCAGGGTTAGTATAGATAGACGAAGCAGTGTTAAATGTGACAAAGATATTGTCGTCACAATGGTCAGAAATTTAGCCAAAAATAAGATAAAAATGGTGAACACCTCTTGTGAAGATTGTTCTGTCTTTCTTATGTATCCAATGCTCAAATATTACTCATCATTGACGTTTTAATTTCATGGCTGATTTTAATTTCAAGACAGCAGGTCCTACTTGGTTTTTTACTTAAAAATCGAGGATTGTAACGTTATATATAAAAATTGTTTTAATAATTTTGTCTTTAATAAATTATAAATTTGGTTATTATATATATATATATATATATATATATATATATATATATATAATATCTATTCATTTTTATATTTGAAAATAAATTAAAATACCCCTTAGGTAAATGACGTACTCTCTGTCAAAATTCATTAATTTTTTTATTTATCGTCACATGTTTTCACGAACCATGGTGACATACGTGTTCTCCTAGGCCAGAATGGTCATATTGCTTATAAATTTTCTTATATATTATGGTACTCGTAAGAAATAAGCGGTTCAAACTTAACCCTACCTTGCGGACACGGGTGACCCCCATGGCTCAAATAGAGTTGTTGTTGTCGGACACCGGTGTCCCCTGTGGCCTAAATGGAACTATATCAAAAATCTTGATGGCATTCAACATGTTAAATTTCAAGAATCAAAAATAAACTCTATTTATAATAAGTGAAAAGTAAAAAAAATATTATTTATTATATTATAATTAACTATTTATAATAATTATATGTAAGTGAGATGGATACCTACTGTAAGTTTCCTAAATAAATAAATAAATAAAATAACTTTGACAATAATCACAACTAACACGAATGAGGAATAAACAAGCCCTCAAAATGTGGTGAGTGCATTGGAAAATGCTGCAGGAGAGATCGCTAAGGAAGAATGGGCGCTCTGATTTCCTCAGTGGTTCCATCGAATGCGAACATGTATAGGGAGGAACCGAGGCTAATTCAAATAACAATAAAAGTATTGTCAACTTTGTACATTAAGACATTTAATTTTTTCTAGGATCTTTCATTGTGATCCTTTTGACAAACGCACTGTTGAAACAATCTTTCCACATGACTGCCTATGTTTCTTAGACAGGTTGTCATGCGAGGAATGTCTTCAATAACTTTTATTCATTTTCACTTGCTTATTGTTGATAAATTTGAAACAAAATTTTAATTTATTTGCAATACCTCGTATTTTGGTTATAATCTTTATATATACATATACATATAATTCTTCTGTATGTGTGTGTCACTGAACTACTAAACGGCTGGACCTATTTTAATGAAATTTTTTGCATGTCTCCAAGTCTTTTCGAGAATGGTTTAGATTCACAATTCGATACACTACAACTTTTTTTAATTTTTTTTTATTTATAAGTTGTCGGATTTAAATTGTGTGTACAGGACAACGTCTGTCAGGTCCGATAGTAGGTTATAATTTGCCATGATTGAAAACAGTAGGTCCTACTGAAGTGCTATAATAACATTAAATTCAACTCCTTTTAATTAAAAATGTACTGTAAAAACTAATTAAAAAAAGCAAAATACAATTTATGAAACATTTTTTTGTCTCTTGTAAAATCAACATTCTGTAGTTATGATTTCATGTCACTACATCATCAATATTCTCAGATAAAAATTGTACTGCTAGTAAAAGTACTATGAGATATTAAGTTATGAATTTTAAAAATAAAATGTTATGACAAAATGTATTATCCACTTTACAATAAAAATAATATTTCAATAATAATTCTTCAGTTCAGTTTCTTTGACTGACCAATAAAACACACTTTGCCATTTTACTTACTTAAACAACTATAAGTTAACATTTTTCTTTCTATTGTAATAATGTATAGGAAGTGGAAGAATATAAATTATTTTCAGTACTAATGTATGTTTATAAGAATTAGACTAATGTGTAGTTATCATTCGGATACTTACGATTTCAATTCAATTGCACATTTTGCTAATAGGAAACGCGATTGCGGTAGTGTCGGGGATATATTTTGTAACAGATGATGTGCTTCATTTATACGCCCAGCTCTGTAGTAACAAGTTCCCAACAAAAATGCTGTTTCTTCTGAAGCAACTACAATCAAACGCAAAATGAATGTATATACGTGAAAGCAAAAAGAATGCAGAAAAAAAATATCTATATTATTTACCTCAACTGCTTTTAAACAATATTGTTTATCACTTATGATTAACAACCTAAAAGTAAATTAACAAAACCTAATTTGAGGGTACGAAAATTATGAAAAATTACCTTCAGCGTGTAGTCTCTCTGCCAAAAATATAGCGTTGTCGTATTCATAATTATTAAGACAATCCCAAACGATAACCTGTCACAGTTAAAAAAATATTTGTAAAAATAATTAAATCCAATTTGCAAAATTTTGACGGATAGACATTGAACAAATATCTTCACATACCTGAATAGGTTCTTGAACAATCATTTTACAGATATTGTGCACTTGTATGTATGTAAATTGTATTAAATATTTCACATCGCTAATCACAATCAGCACACAGTCACACAGGAAAATAAAAACGTAACTTTTACGACGGACATTTTCATTTTAGTTTGTTGATTGTCTATGGGCGTCTGGTTGTTGTTACGAAAGCGATCGTTAACTCGAAACGAAAGTAATGGACAAATGACTTAAAGTTGCCATGACAGGATTAGAAAAAATTGTTCATTTCTGCTATTGCATTCTATAATTATTACCTATAATATTAGCTAAATGCTGAATTGTGTGTTCAAAACGTATAAAACTATTCTTCAAAAATAAGGAAGGATAAAGTTCTTACATGCCAAACGTAAAAATTACATATTACAGTTTATATTTTGTTGCTCTTCTTCTTCTTTCTTTATTGCTTCTCTTTAGAGAATTCTGCCAATGTAATGAAAAGAAGTAAAAAAGTTTTTTTTTTCTTTTTTTTGTAATACTTCAGAATCTACAAGAAAAAACATAACATATAATAAACCATCGCCACAGTTAAATTTAATAATTTTACAGTTATATTTAATAATTTTGTTAAATTTGATTTTTTTCCAACAGTGTTTTTGTCAATGCTAAAAAACTCAGGTATTAAATATAAGAGCTTCATAAAAGATATTATAAAGGGAATTGGTTTGATATTGATAAACAGGGGAGCGAATATTAAAAATTTCTATACATCTTTTTTTATGTTAAAAGTTGCCAAACAAGCTGACGGTTCACCTGATGTTAAGTGAAAACCGCCGCCCATGGACATCTGCTACACAAGTGTTACAGATGCGTTGACAACCTATTGAAAATTGGGCTCCGGCTACCACACTCACCAGACAAAACGCGAAAGTATTTGTCATACTTCCAATTTACGCTGGTCTTCTGTGAGGTCGTGGTACTTAAGCAGACGGGCCTGCCTATTCGTGTAACAGCCGAGGCTGTTGCGTGGCCCTACCAATAATAATAAAAAACTAATAACTTAAAGATAATTACCATCAACGGCATAAGCTTGGAAAGGAGTGGTGGAACAATGCGATCTGCGCAGGGCGGAGATTCTCTGACTTAACTAAACCTATTTCAAAATTTCTTGAATCTGGATTACCGCGACCCGAACAGAGCAATATTGCCAATACTTGTAGAACAATGAAAAGTTATAGAACCCAATGGAATGGATATGGCCGGATGTTGTAAAACGTAATTTTATGCCGGAAATGAAAGACGGACGGAGGCGGAGTGTCGAAAATAGATCCAACTTTCGTCTGCTAAAAGACCTCAAACAAGAAGAGTCCCTTTGAAAAGAATAGATCTCGATATAGCTAATCCGTTTCCATTTAGTGTGAATAAAAATATAAGATGTCATCTTACCTACAGTCTGTTAAATATACGTTGATACGCGGGACATTGACATTGACATACTAATATCGATTTCATATATGAAGTTCCGTATTTTTTAAACAAAAAATGTGCGTAACACAATGTGGTACTTTATTTCGCATTGTCCTTACAAAATCGCGTTATTGGCCAATACGAATTCAAACAGGAAAAACGCTGCATAAACAGATCGACGGATTAATGATGTGTATGGGAAGCTACTAGAAAAAAAAAACACGGTAAGTTTTTCGTTTTAATGTTTTTGTACCGGAAGGAAGTTAGCGTAGAATATTTTTTTTTATAAAATGATATGCCAATTAATTGCTATTGAAATGCTCCATTAGAATTCGTAATTGCTTCACGTTTATTCTATTCATTAATTTTTAAAAAAAATAATTTTGATATAAAGCATAAAATATCAATTTATTTTGCTCAAGAAATTGCTCTCAATTTTCTCTATTAATTAAAAAAAAATATTATCATTTTGCAATATTTATAATAATTAATATTAAAAAATATTTTGATGTAAATTACTGCACTATGACGTCATCAGAGGTCATTGAATTCACTGAAAGCTATGTTTACATGAATCCCAATGAATCCTCGTCACGACAATTTCATGTTTGCCTTTATGTTTATAGTTTAATTTTAAGTTAATATAGCCGTATTATTATAATACTCAACAATAATACAAATAGAAATTCAAATTCTTTATAGTGCTAATCTCTGCACTTAAGATTGAACATTAAAATTTGTAGAAAAAGTACGTAAGTAGTATTAAAAGTAGTTTTCTACATCGTTTATAAATATCGTTTAATTAAAAAAAATATTCTACGCTAACATCCTTCCGGTTGTTTTTGTTCTGATAATTTTGAACTACAGAACAACCTTGTGTACAACTGGAGATCCTAGTTGACAACGAAGAATTAAGATGATCGTGGAAGCAGATTCATCGTAAACCATGTCGGAGTTAACGCCATGAGATCATACGTCTCGTGAGGTAATAATATATTAAAACTCAACTCCATAAAATCTTTGATCCACTTTCTAACGAATTTTGATATTGTCTTGATTTTTAGGATTTGGCAACATTACACAGATAAAACACTAAGCTAAGCCGTGTCTGTGACACTGTCTCTATGGTCTGTGTACATATGTCTGTAAGTGTAACCAATAGAGAACGGATCGTCACAACTGCTTACGAGAAAAATATTTTGAGTCTTAATACAAACTGTATGTAAAAAAACGTGCAGTGATTGTTTTCAAAGTGATTTTTAGAGTGTTGCGTCGAAATATTTATAATTCAATCGATCTTTGCCACAAAGATCGATGAGATCGTGAAACAATATGTGGAGTGTTGATTACGAATGACGTCTGAAACGAAACAAAAAGCCAACGTAGTTAGAATACCACCATAATTCTTCCATAAAAGGTAATTTAATGTTCGAGTAGAGTTTTCAGAAGTTTTTAGGAAAAATGTAATGTATGCCCTTCACTTCGAGCTAGTGTAACAAGAAAATGTCAAGACGTGTGACCTCCACTCAACGAGTCCGTTTTAATTTTATTGGAAGAGTAATTCAGTAGGATTCTAAAGTTTTGCGACGTATGCCGATTTATTATAGAGGCCTTATTTGAATTCAATTGTTCTAATTAATAACCAGATTAAACGATATGGTTATTGAACACTGCGATTAAGTATATACGTAACATAACTACTACTAGTAAATAAAAATTGTACAATTTTTAGTATTTATAGATAGACAGAAGGGGCCTATAGTGTATTACAGTATTTAAATAAATTAATGTTGATTCTTTAGGAATTTGACAAATGTAACCTGATTTTAAATAAAAATCAGACAAAAAGTTGAATTTCAAACTATATTATGGGTCATGTCACGTTTTATTTTATTTATCAATTCTTGAGGTTCCGAATAAGCTCAACACAGGACCTAATAATGAGTTTTACTCATGTTGAGAAAATATTAACTTAAACTTTAACTTTAACTTAAACATTACTATTTTTAATAAACAAATAAATTATCACTTAAATCCAAAGTAGAAGCCTATGTGCTGTTCATAAAGATCTGCCTGTTCACAGTAAGGAAAATTAAGTTTTATATGATAATTATATGATTGTACAAAGAATACATCTTTCTACAATCACATAATTGTTAAAACTACAGCTTGCTCAATTTTTCTTGCTCACTTTTCGATTATTTGTAAAGATATGTCGTATTTTAGAGTTGCAAACTTGTTTGTGGTTTAAAACTATTATGATTTACTAAACTTTGTTGTGTTTTTGTAATGAGGAATGACATAGTTATTATTGTTTTGTTTTTTTAACAATAATATTCTTACCTTTGTTGTGAGTACAACTTAGTAAAAACAAAACATTAGCATCATCACCATTTGTCTAATTCAATCAATAGTAATAGTGAACTGCTTCTTACTTGCATATTTTGCATATTTTTTATATTTGTGAACTAACTTGTGTGTTTTCTTTTCAAAATGATAAAAATTATATACCAATTGTCACTGTTTATAGGACATGTGTATTGTCATATTTGCTCAGAAATGGCTACTTTTAGGTAACTTATAAAGTGAATAAGTGAAGATATTCATGATGGATAGATATTTATCAATAGGTATTTATTAAACAATTTTTTAAGTGATTTATAAATATTTACTATTAATAGATTTGGCTGTAGTATAAATTATTGAGTTGTTAATAACCTATTAGAAATAATTTAGATAATATACTAAAAGGAAAAAAGCAGAACAATAATTGTCATAAGTTGTATAGAAATATCCAATAATGTAGATGGCACATGTTCCTCTCATATTATATCCAAGCAGTGTTTAATAATAAATACCTTACAAATATTGGCTACATGTTCAATTTAACCTAATAAAAAAACAAATGCATTTTTTTAGCATGTTTTTAAGTAAAAGGTGATTATGTATTGTCATATACTAATAGAATAAATGGCTCCATCTATGCTGCTCTTTATGAAGATACCAATATTTATGGAAAAACACTAATTTTCCTTAAAATATCTTCTATAATTATTCTTTGAAATGTGGTAGTTTCACCTCTGAAACTTTTGTGCATTTGTGTTGTGTGTGCAGTTTCTCTTTTCCTTTAGGTTTCAATCTTCATACCATTTCAGTGCCAGTTTGTTTCTTACAATTATCTTCACAGTTATTTATTCTTCTTCTTTATGTGTCATTGACAAATCATATCTTCCCAGCCTAGGACCTAGCCAGTTTTATTGCACAATTTGTGGCATCCATAAAATCCTACTACGATCAGGTGAAAGAGCAGGCAGGAAGAAAACGCTGCTGTTTGTAATTGTTAGTAAAGGTTATATGGTTAATAAACAAGTTTTTTTTACGGTATTAAAAAGAATCATAGTCCAATCTCAACTGTTTACCACAAACATATCATTGTAACAAATTACGCGGTATAATGAATATTTTTTAATTCCTTTGAGTTTCATTCTATGGAGGTGGCACTGTATAAATTGAAAATTGTTTGGATGATATAAGAATTTTATTAATTTCTTTTTATATGTAACAGAATGAGTTCGACGGAGACGATTAGCGTTACGGCGCAGCCGATCTCAGACACGGTACACGACATGTTTAAGCCGCTACAGCAGCCGGTGTTCCTGCAGACAACTACTGCTCAGGTCATCACCGGAATATTTGTATGGACTGCGCTGTTCATCACTTGTCAACAGGTAGGTCAAATTTTTAATATCTTTCCATCATATTGATTGCATTAATTAATAAAAATTTATGGAAGTGTTAAATTTCCTGATGCGAGATGTTAGTTTGTATATTGGTATATTCATTTATAATGGAGAATTGAGAAAGAGAACATATTATTATGATTATTACTATGAGCACTGTTATAAAAAAAAATGTATTTATTGTTATTCAAAAAGGATAACTGCGTTATGCATGAGTATTAATTTAGCAAAGATTCAAAACACCAATGTGACCAAAACACGACTTTTCACAATGTGTACTTTTGCGTACAACTAGCATAGTTTTTTTATCACTTACGGGCGAATATGTGACTTCCGACAGGCGCGTAGGACATCTTTGAAGGTTGTTTATTTATTATATAAAATCGTGGAGTATTAATATATTTATATATAATTGTCTTATACCAGGATGTCTCTACATATAGTTGATTTTATTTTCAACTTTTAAAAAATAAAAAATTAAATGGCAAAATTTAGATGATTAACCTTACGGGTTGAGAAATGTTGAAACGAGTTAACCCTTGGTTTTTATACCATGTCTTATATTAATTAAAAGTATTGAGTCCAAAACAGGAAAAAATGGCCACATTGTGACGCCTTACGCCGTTTTGATAACATAAAAAAAAAAGATTTTCGGAAAATGATTTAAAAACATTTTTTACTCCGTATTTATTTCTCTAGTAATTTGTAAAATGTTCCCACTAGTCGTGACTTATAGTTGTAAAAGAAAGTTGAAACATCGCGGCCACGACGCATTTCCTTCGTTATCATCTTTGCATGACACACCTTTTGTTATTTAAGGTTTATCGTCTTCACTATAATATAACGCATTACAATTTATTGCACTTATATCAATACGCCTTAAGAGTTTTTGGTAAATTTACTGGTGTTAATTTAATATTAGTTTATATAAAACCGTGTAATCATTGAGAGGTGTAAAGATATGGTTTTAAGTATTATACAACTTTTTTTAATATAAAAAATATTACGTATTTGCGACAATGTGAACGATGGTAAAGTTGCCGGTGTTCAAAAGGAAATAGTTATGTATATAATAGAATTAAGTTTTCCATGTATACAATGTTATATGAATAGCAAAATTTTCAAGTCTAACTTATAGTCTGAAACGTCAGTGAAAAACAAGTTCAATCGCTAAAGATTTGTTTTGCGACTGCTGATAATTTTGTATTGTTTGGTACAAGTTTAAGGCAAAAAGTCCCCATACCACCTATAAATAACAACACGTTTTTATTATAACATAACGTTATAATATAACGCAAAAAGTATTAACTTGGATACTTAAATGTTACATGTTTAATGTTATATCCGTCCGTGCTATTTACTTTGAGAAAGCTAATTTTAAATTCTCCGGCGCATGCTGGATTGCCGTTCCCATTATATCATCCATTCCGTCGTCAATATTAAAGTTTGATCAGCTTCACTTTCCCTAGTGCGGGTATCCTATCGATTCGCTGCTTAACAGCTTTTATCTCCCCTGCAGCTAGTGCGAGGTCACTGCGCGAATCTTAACATTGGTTTGTTACGTTATTATGACATAAATGTTCGCTCTTTCTACTTTGATTATTGGGCTTGATTGTACAAGCCGTTATTCTGTTTGAATCATAGAACAAAAATAAATGCTAACTGTTTTCTTTCTATGGCAATGAAATAGTCGAATAAAACAAATTAATAAAATGTTTTCATCCGTACGATACAATTTAGTTCATCTTAATTTAAATAAAAGCATTTGTTTGCACTAACGTGTAGGTGATAATTATAAATTGACTGAAACTTGATGTAGAGCAATTTATAAAATACGCATCACTGTTTTAAAGCGAGATTATATACGCGTGAGGTGATGAATATATTAATAAAAGCCATGTCAATAAGCACTTCAGGTCAAGTAACAGGAAGCCGAGAGGCGAATGGTTCACATAATTTAAAATGAGCCTAAGCGTTCAACACTCATTAGTTTTTACGTAACACGCGCAGTGGATGGATAGAGCGATTTACCTTCTATTTTTGTTAGTCATAACACAAATTTTACTGACCAACGCCCATTGACATCGAAAAGACCGGCAATTGTACTAGTGTTGTTAGCATTTAAGATAGAGCGATGGTTCCTTGTCGTGATGGTAATATCTCCTTTCACTAAGTATCGTTAAAATCAAATCAAATATATCTTTATTCAAATAGACGCTTGCGCGTTCTTTAGGTTCGGTTCGTAAGGGACCAAAGGTTTTCAAGATTTGGCTGTGACATATTTACCTTTATTATGTTATTACATAAATAAAAATAATGTATTAAGAGTCGCGAACCGCGATTGAATGCGTGCGTAAACTGTAAGAGTTGTACAATCATTTGGCATGCACCGTGTCGTCAAATTTCCGAACGGCTTTTCGATAGATCGGCGATCGATCCCCAAATCCGTCCGAAGACGGGCATATTAACGTTTTTTTTTCATCCAGACGTAACTTGAAACATATACTAAGAAGTCCCTGCAGTGTTGTTGAGGGAATATGATTCTAAAGCGAACGCCGAAGCCGCGCGGCCGATTTGAAAAGACAGTAAGGGTCCGTTCACACAGACCGGCTCGGAGAGCATCGGCCTGCTTTTTTCTTTTCACACAGACCGGGTCGTATACGCTTGGAATTGGCCGGAGCGGAGCCGCCAACTATTTCACATCGACCGGCTGGAAGAGATCTGAAAGCGGGTGCGGTTGGATGTGCTCGGATCCGGTCGGATGCGCTCGGAGTCGGGTGGATACACTACAAAGGCAGTGCCAGTATTCCGCGCAGTCTAAGTTTTGTTTTCGGTGTGTTAACGTGTGCTTTTCGAAACATGGATTTAGATAGCTCCGACGAAGAAATATATTTGTTAGCAAGATTACTTGAAATAGAACATAGGAAACGTAAGCGCAAGCGGAAACAAATATGGGTAAAACATATTTGGAAAAACAGACTAATCCATGGGGAGTTTCACACCATTTTCGAGGAATTGAAGAGAGATAGCCTAAAATTTTATGAGTATTATCGTATGGAATATTGGCAATTTTTGAAATTGACAGATTTGTTAAGAGTACATATAACAAAAAAGACTACAAATTATCGTTGCATTACACCATTACAGCCGAAGAAAGGTTAACGGTAACTTTAAGGTAAATAAAAAACAATTATTTATACTAATCATGTTATTTAGATCACAAAATCACAGCCCTCCATTTATTAAGCATTGTTTACGTTAATGAAATGTAAATTACTTATACTAATCATGTTAAATAACACAAACATCTAAATAGATCACAAAATCACAGCCCTCCATTTATTAAGCATTATTTACGTTAATGAAATGTAATTAAATAGTACAGATTTGTGTGTGTTTAATTATTATTATTATAATTATTATTGTTTTTGATTGTTTATTATTTTGTATTTTGTGTGCTGGTATTGTACCCGTAAGTAGTCTGATCTGGATAGTTTTGAGGAATATAGGTTTCGTTTGACACTAGGTAAGTAGATTGATTAGTCGATGGCGGTGAATTTATAGACAAAGAATAATTCAAATCTGTACTATTTTCATACAGACTTAATTCAGCTTCATTAACAATGTTAAACACGCGCCTTTTAATTCGTGCTTGGACTTCTTTTGGGAATGTTTCCACTGTATCTGACATAGACAAAAAAAAATTACGTAATGCCTTGTCACGGGGTGTAGTATTTCTTTTTTCTTCAAGATACTCTTCGAAAACCGTAGCAACATCTTTGCTTAAGCGTGGTCTCTTTTTCGAGCCAGAAGTACTTGCAAGCGATTCAACTTCAGAATGGTCAGAACGTTTAGATGATGTCGATGGTGGTGGTATTGGTGTGCCAGGCTCTGAATCATCCGATGATAATGTTACATTAGATATTTGGTTTCGATTGCGAAAAAATGGTATTATAAAAGAAAGTTCTTTTTCAAATTTTATCAATTTGGACGTAGTTGCACCATCGCCACTCTTGCCTTTTCGGTTATAATAGGCTTTTTCTGAAGTTATCTCGCAGTTTCTTCCAACGATCCTGGCACTGCGTCACTGGAAAGAACAGAAATGAAAAATTAATAACATAACTCTTTTTTATTTTATAGTTCGTTTTGGTACGGCAGTCTTATATTTCTATTTTGTGTGTTTGTTTTATTTTTACAGATTCCTCATCACTGGTTGCAGTTTCAAAAACTTGTCATTTAATTTTCGAATGGGAATTTCTACAGTTCATTCAATTATTCATGAGACAATCAGAGTAATTTGTGATGTTTTGATGCCCATAGTTATGCAGATGCCAGATGAAGAAATGTGGGAAAAGGTTTCACGTGATTTCTTTAATATTTGGAATTTTCCTAACTGTTTGGGCGCTATAGACGGAAAGCATGTCAATATACAGGCACCAGATAATAGTGGAAGCTTATACTATAATTATAAAAACTTTTTCAGTACAGTGTTACTAGCTGTGGTCGACGCGAAATACAGTTTTTTTAATTGTTGATGTCGGATCATATGGTAAAAATAGCGACGGCGGAATTTTACAGAATTCAAAATTTTGGAAAAAACTCAACACCAATAAGTTAAAGCTGCCCCCAAATAAACCTCTACCTAGTACCACTGAAAGCATTACCACATGTTTTTATAGGAGACGAGGCATTTCCTTTGAGCAATAATATATTGCGGCCGTATCCAAGAGAACAAGCAAGAACAGAATTATCAAAAAAAGTATTTAATCTGCGTTTAAGCAGGGCAAGAAAAGTCGTAGAATGTGCATTTGGAATGCTAACTCAAAGATTTGAAATTTATCAAAAACGAATGAAAATTCAGCCGAAGTACTGTGATTTAATTATATTAGCAACTACATGTTTACATAATTTTTTAATAGAAAATCGGACGCCAGGACAAGAGAATGAATTTCACAGCAATATAAATTTATTAACAGCAATAACAGACA